ACTTTAATTTAACATAAGGTTCATTAAAATTTATTTGCAAAAAGTATAAAAAATATTTGCCGAAACTTTTCAAAGAAATTGCAAAGATGCACAACTTACAGCAGTGCATTCTTTGCCATTTTATGAACCTTTGCAGATTGATTTATAACACGACAAAGTATTCTACGTGTAGATAAAAGAGTGCACTTTAACTTAATAGAAGTTTCATTAAAATATGTCTGTTAAAAGTACAAAAAATATTTGCCGAAACTTTTCAAAGAAATGGCAAAGTAGGAAAAAATTACAACATCGCATTCTTTGTCATTTTATGAACCTTTTCAGATTGATTTATTACTCGATATGGTATTCTACGCGTAGACAAAAGAGTGTACTTTAATTTAATATAAAAATCATTAAAATTTATTTGCGAAAAATATAAAAAATATTTACTTGAACTTTTCAAAAAAATTGCAAAGATGCACAATTTACAGCATTGCATTCTCTGACATTTTNAACTTTTCAAAAAAATTGCAAAGATGCACAATTTACAGCATTGCATTCTCTGACATTTTTTGAACTTTAGATGCTAAATTTATAACTCGAAAAGATATTCTACATATATACAAAAGAGTGTATTTTAATTTAATATAAGTTTCATTAAAATCTATTCACTTTTATATATGTATATATATTGTAAAATACGAAGGGAAAAACTGTGGAATTTGTTCATTTCATACTTGATTTAGATTTAATTATAATGAATAAATAAATAAATATAACTATTCGATATACTAATATGTTTTTTGATAAAAGTGCGCAACGTTTAATAATAATAATAATAATATATTGGATCTGGAATATGCGTTAAATTATAACTAATTATAATTTTTTATTCAAATAAAAGATAGAAAGTTGGATCGGAAATGGAAGATTTTATGATGCAACAAAATTCTCGTTTCGATCCATCAATCGAGATGATTATTACGCTACGCGTGCACAGTCATTATCTTCGCTTGGTAGCAAAATATATTGGATGTTGTTGCGTATGATCATAATGTTTCTTTGATCGAGCATGAAGAGTATTTCGCATAAATCAATGATTCCAGTTTTTCCTATCTATTTTTCATTGTCTCTCTCTCTCTCTCTCTCTCTTTCTTTCTCTTTCTCTCTCTATCTTTTCCTTTTTCTTCTTTTTATGATAGTAATACATGAGAGATGGGGTTTGGGGGTTTGGAGGAAGGGGGGGCTTTATGTGGTGGAAGTAACGTTTAAATGCATTTTGATGATGCACAACTAGATCCTATTTCATTGGAGTTAAAGTGTACGCTAAAGAACTATGAATTATCTGTAATTATATGATCACTCACTTCCCTAGTGCTATTTCATTATCGATAATCATAGGAAAAGCGTGTAATTATTTCACTGCTGACGTAGAACGTGTCTCTTCTGATCTTCCCTGTCTATCCATTTATGTATATAACACGACGACAAATTTTCTATAATCAATCAATTAAAACGTTTATTATGAGACGCTTCGTTCTCTCTCTCTCTCTCTCTCTCTCTTGTTATCGCTTAGAATAAATCATTTATATGAGATAAGCAAACAAACTACTCGACGCAATCCTTTTTTTTCTCTCTTTTTATTTTCTTCTTTTCTTTATTTAAAGAACTGTTATCTCCCTCCGGCACGTAGTTCGTTGATTACAAATATTTGCTAAACAGACACGACGAAAATTTAATTATGCATTCCTCGTAAACCTCCTTCTCTTACGCGATTGTTTAATCTCTTAATTTAGAAATGAAAAGAAAGAATTTGGAAAAAAAAAAGAAAAAAAAGAGAAAAAGGAAGAAGTAAAAAAAAAACGACTAGGAAAAAGATTTTCTCAAGAAAATAACGCGCGCGTGTATAGAATTTCATAGAAATTTTTCGTAACAACGAAATAACAACGCAATACATACTACTACTGAGCCATTTCAGCAATACAGAAAATTATAGTTTGCGAGGAATAGGAAGAAAACGATGTTACTTTTGACCTAAGCACTTCAAAGACAAGTACCTACACCCATTCAACATTGTCGTGTGAGATAGTAATATTCACGTGAGATTTCAAAGAGATGGGGGGTTTTTTTTTTCTTTCTTTCTTTCTTTCTTTCTTTCTTTCTTTCTTTTTCTAGTAAGAACCATAATTTTCTCTAACCCTCGATCGGAGAGGTCGCGTAGCCGTTTCGTACACGTGTAAGAAGAAATTTTCTGAAATAACTGAAAACGTCGGTTAGATCACGTTCCAATGAAATAATAGGATCTCCTTTACCCCCGTTTTTCATTTCATTTCTTTCTTTTTTTTTTTTGATCTCTTTTCCATACACCCATATCATAAATACGAAAGAAGAAGGAGAAAGATTTTTATATCTCGGCAATAGGAAAAATGGGAGACATTTTCATGAAAACGTTGTTCGATTCCGGCCACGTTCGAGAAAAATTCTCGTAACTCGGAAATTCCTTTTTTTTAACATTATTCCAGTCAAATAATATCTCGCGAATAAATTTCTATTTGAATGAAAACTTATCTACATTTTTATGTTACTACGTTAAAGACATGGATCAACATGATCGTAACTCGGCAAGTTACTTCTGTTCAGAATTCCAAGAAAATGTGGGAGGGGGGGGGGTTTACATACACACACGCGTGTACGGTTTATTTATCCATTCTCCAACTTATAATTGGAAAGGTAAAGATATTATAGGTAGGTATATTAAAAAAAAAAAAAAAAAAATAAGTAAAAAAAGTTGAAGAAAGTTTATTCTTTGGATTCTTTAGATGGTTGGCTTGAAGAACGTTGGTAGCAACGGGGACATCTGGCCACTGGAAAGGCCAGAGGGCATGCCAGCCATCCAATCCCTCGAGGTGATGTGCGGAAAAGATCACATGGACGTTCATCTATCGTTTTCGCAACCTTTTGAAGGAATAGTATCGTCCAAGGGCCAGCATGCTGATCCACGATGCGTTTACGTTCCACCGTCAACTGGACAAACCTTCTTTTCGTTTCGGATAGCATATGCCAGGTGAGATCTCAACGAAACAACATTGTAATTAATAATACATAAGTATCGTAAGGAAATTGGACATTAAAAAGAACTAGAACTTAGTTTTGATTAATTGGGGACGTTTATAACGAAGCTTAGATGTTTAGTTCTTCGAATATTACCAGAATGTATGTCTGCTCAAATGAAAAAGACGCTGAACTTTGGAGATTATGGTAATATCTAATATTTTATAATGTATGGGTCTCATGTAATTCATAATATTAAAATAACAAAAAAAAATAAAATTTCCAGTTACTGAAACGTCCAATTTAATCAAAACTAAGTTCTAGTTCTTTTTAATGTCCAATTTCCCTACGATACTTATTTATTAATAATTTTATATTTCGAGACGAAAGAAATAACTAATTGAATTATAATTAATTAAGAATAATTGTATCATTATATAGTATATATTTGTATATATCTGGTGTATTACAGATGTGGTACAAAACCAGACATGCACGGCCAGTTCTACGAGAACACCGTTGTTGTTCAATACGATAAAGATTTGCTCGAAGTATGGGACGAAGCAAAACGATTACGATGCGAATGGTTCAACGATTACGAAAAAACTGCATCTAAACCGCCAATGGTGATAGCCGATCTCGATGTTATACAATTAGATTTTCGAGGTAATTGTTGACACGGTTTAACCATCAATCATACTTATTACTTATTCTCTATATTTTTTTTTGTTTCTAAACGATTAAAATTCTATACAAATTTATTGACAATGATATCACGTGTACAAATACAGTGGGCAGATACAACAACACCGGGTATAATGTGTTTCTTCGTGGTAGAAAGAGTTTAATGCGCGAGATCATCGCGTACTGTACTCTTCTACACGGGGACTCGTGTATCCGCGGTTGACCACAGGTGTGGAACCGCAGGATTGCTACTTAATTTTAACTTTCGTAACACGAATGTATGCATCTTCGCGTAGGAGAGAGCAGTCTTCTCAGCAAGAAAATCATAAACTTGTGTTTGTACGAACATTCACGAACGAACATTTGTGTGTTCGTTAACTGTGTACAAAAAAAAAAAAAAAAAACAAGAAAATGCAAACGATTTTGTTTCTACGAGAAAAAAGAAATCGTTTATTATCATGTTCACATTTATATCTCGCAAAGTTGGTTTGCGTTCGTGTTAAAGTCTCGAAAAAACGGTATATAGTAGATTGAAACGATTTGATATTCAAAAGGGGACAACGTTGACTGTTGGATGGAAATACAACATGGAAAGGGACCATGGGCTCCACCTGTATCTGGGATCGTTCCTCTTGGCTCAACTCTCACGCTGGTCGTCGCAATAAACGATTACCGAGGTAACGAGCGACAGAACTCCCAAGGTACACGAGATTCCACGCACACCTAAGACACGAACTTACTCTAACATAATTCTCGTTTTATTCAATTGGGCGCAGGTGAATTCGACATGCGAGTTAAATCGTGCGTAGCATCAGACGGCGGGGGTCACACGATACAACTAAGCGATGAGTTCGGATGCGTTCTCAGGCCTAAGATGATAAGCCGTTTTCTCAAGGCTAGAGGATCGGATGATCGTGCTACCGTAATAACATACGCATTTTTCCATGCATTCAAATTTCCCGACGCACTTAGCGTTCATATCAAATGCAAGGTGAGACGATTAATTTCAATTAATTTCGATCTTCATTTAGTTTCATTAGTTTTCACGATGAACATTTCATTTCATTTCATTTCATTTCATTGTTTTTTGTCCGTCAAGGTTGAGATATGTCGGCACGGTTGTCTCGACCACTGTCAGCTCAGTGGTTCGGTCGGCCATTATATTCAAGAACGCAAGGATCAAATCCTTCAGCAATATCACCAAACCACAGGAACGCCCATCATTCATAACGACGATAATAATAGTGCTGAGAAAAATGACGGTGCCGTAAACGAGGAACAAAACGACGGTTCCCTTTACGATGACATCATTCAGAACGGCGACGAGATGACTTCGATAGGCGGACAATTTCTGGGTATCGAGAAGTCCGTTGTTAAAGCACAACCGCAAACTAACAATCGATTACCAGCACCCGTGATAGAACCGCAAAACGAGGACGACGTACATCCGGACGATCTTTCGCGGCCTTACTTGGTAATTATGTGGATTATTTATAGTCATTTAGAAATTCAATCTAAAATTCCTCCTATCATATCATTCAACACTACACCTCTAATAAGTATTATTTAAATCTATTCGCATTTTTTAATTGAATCACTCTAATTGTCAGTTTCTTCCAATTATAATCCGCATTATATTATATTATATTGTTATCTATCTCGTTTCGAGTTCCCAAGGTATATTATTAATAAGCTCTATTTAGTCAGATCAAAGAGATCTAATTAATTAACGATACTCTCTACTTTTCTCATTGACATAATGATCTCTTTAATCACAAATAGGAGTGGTGAAGGAGGGGTAGTTTATATAATCGAATAATTCACGCGAAATAAAACTAGATTTTATTGAAATAAATGAATTCAATTAATAATATAACGTATTATAAATTAACGTGATAAAAATGGGCCATCATTTGATTATCTGTGAAAATAATTCGTTATCCTTCTTTTTTCTTTTTTCTTTTTTCCAGGAACCTCCAAGAGTTACGAGATACGAGAGCGATCGTGAACAATTTCCACACGGACCGCGTAATTTAGAAGAGGACGGTGATTCTAGGCCAGTGACACCGTTGTCTTCGGTTAACGTTAGGCGAAAAAGATCGGTCGTGGTGTCGGACAGAAAGGTTAGAAGCGCGGATGTCGGTGTTAGTGGAATATACGAGGTAATCTCGGAAGCTGACCTGGCCTTCAGTCCGGATACCCACGCTGAAGCTGTTACGGTCTTTCAAGGAAGAATACGTGAGGAGGTCGTATATGGTATTTGTTTGCCAATGCCAGGTTTCAGTGCACTCTTCGTAGTGGTAGCCCTTTCAGCCGTAGTCTCGGCATTGGTTGCCGGTGCAATGTTGCATCGATTGCAATCCCAACGTGAAGCGGTAGTTGGTGGTAGCAGAAAAAATCGTGCAACGGCTGTCGGACCCACGGCAAACGGTTGGTTACTTTATGGTCTACTTCGTGTACGTTGTACGACGAGACCACCACCACCACCCCCGCCCCCGCCATCATCGTCCGGCCAATTGCAAAAACAAACTAACGATATAGTATCAAGGGAAACACCTTCGGTTGAAAGAGGCTGATTATTTTATGAACCCGTGTACACGACTACCGCGACTCGACGATTCATTTCATCGGATATCCGCTTATCCAAGCAGTGATAATATGCTCTCCGAGAGACTATGTGCAATAATACGCTGTACAAAGTTATACGTGTGTGTGTAAGGATGCGTAAGATCAAGCCCGATTAATCAATCTCTCCGAGTCGTATTTAAGTCGAGAGTTAGTAATCTCTTTTACTTTTTTTTTTTTTTTTTATTCATTTTCTTCCTTTCTATCTTTATTCTACCTTCCGTTAGTTTTCTCTCGCTCTCTCTTATCTTCATTCTATTCAAAGGACATCGTCGAGAGATTTCGTCGTTCGTATTCACGAGAGACGGTGGATCTTCGATCGTTTCAACTACATTTCTCGAGCCATTAATGCCAATCTTTATTGTCCCTCTCTCTTTCTCTCTTTCTCTTTCTCTCTCTCTCTCTCGAAGCTCAGGATATCGTGAAAACCTTTAAGGATAATAGCGATACGTGTCTGGAAAGATACAAGTTCACCTTCATTGCCGATGCACGTTCGGAACACACAAAAAAAGATCGTCTATCTTCTTCCATTTGAAATCATCGAAACTGTTTGACGAGTTCTATATATTTGACTATCATTTTATTTTAAGTTAATCAAACGATTCTCTGTATCAACGATGAAGTTGAGATTTTTTGTCTTTTTCTTAGTAAGGAAAAGTGAACGAAATTAATCATTTCTAGGTGTCATGATGATGATGATGATGATGATGATAATGATGAAGTTCGTAAATATATGTATAATCTAAATTGTAAGATCAAAATAATGACACACGTACTTAGTTAGATTTTTAAAAACTAGAGAAATGAGATAGTTGTCATTTAACCAGACGCCATCGAACGAGAAGAGAACAAATATTTCATTTTTATTTTTTGTCTTTGTATTTTTTTTTCTTTTTTTTTTTTGTTTTCTCTTCATATCGTAACGCATCATCTTCTCTCATTTCTATATAACGCGAAAGACGTAAAAATAAATATTTTTCTTCTTTAGATGATAATTTGTATACTCGTTGTAAAAGTTCATTAGCCTTATTTATGGCGTTCGCGTCTCGTCGTTTCTTTTTTTTTCTTTTTTTCTTTTTTCAATATTTTAATATCGAATCTTATTATTTTATTTATCCCAAAAAAAAAAAAAAAAAGAATGAAGAAGAAACAAACAAGAGAAGACAAAATGGAGAGAAGCGCCGCGAATGCCCCAACACGTATTAATTTTTAAGAATCAAACTTTACGTTTATATATATATATAAATATAAATAATAATAAATATATACGTGTGTAGTAGACGTGTAAAAAAAATTATTTTCTCTCTTTGTGTACGTTTAGAAATTTAAGATGATAAATATTAATTTAATTGTACGAACAATTCTCTTCTAATCAGTTCTTCATGATTTTATTAAATCATATTTTGTTTTTTTTTTCCCCCCCCTTTTTTTATAAATATAAATTTTTCTTTGTATAGCGTTAAATATGCAAAAAAAAAAAAAAAAATAAAAAAAACATTATTCGATTTAAAATTAATTTATATAATGATCGATTCGATAGTATATTTCTGAGGTTGTGTTTCTATTTAAACAATATGCATTAAACAACTTAAGACAATAAATATATTTACAGAATCTTGGACGATTACTGCCAATCTCCGATGATTATTCATCCCATAAATAAATATTTAAAAAAAAAAAAAAAATAATAAAATATACAATAAAAAAAAGAGAGAGAAAATCCTTTTCTATATATAAAAAAAAAAATAAAAAAAATACAGAAAAAAAAAACCAAAAAAAAAAAAGCACGAACCGTCTCTCCTAACGGATAGAATATTATTATAATAAATAAAATATACATTTTTCTTTGTAAATAAAAAATAAATTTATTATAAACATATATACGCGTATAAAAATATAGACATTGCCTTTCAAATTGGACACGTTCATCCAATGATCAAAGGTACGTGTTTAAATAAACTTATATGTATAATAATAATAATTCGCTCGCGTCTGAGTTAATTATTAAAAAAACTATCGTCTAAATTATCTTAATCTACTATCTAATATTTTCTCTATGGCAATTTAGAAAACATTTTAAAAGATAATTGATTATTATTTTTATATCAGTTGAACGTAAAAAAAAATTAATTTAATAATAATGATTTTTTTTTGGATACACTATAGTATTATTATTTCTTAATTACGCGATTAAAAAGACGCAGAAATAGATGTGGTATAATAAATATAAATAAATAAATAATAAAATAATAAAATTTAAAACGCTACGTCGAGAGATGAAAAATCTTATATAAACGCGAGAAAAATCTTTCCACTATATCTTACTTTTACATTTTATTTTCCTGTCATCTTTTACATGATTTATTCAATTCCGATATTACTCTTTTGAAAAATTACATTGATATAGATTATTATTATTATTAATATATATATATAAACAAAGAATAATTTATTGGCACCGTCCAAGCTTGAAAAATATTTTCAGCTTCTTTTTTTTTCTTTTTTCATTCGCAACACAACGATACTAACGAGACAACGAAAATAATTCTCCTTCTTTTTCTTCAATTTGTGTTTTTCATATCGTTAACGAGAACGTCACTTAAATTAAACGATTAAAAAAAAAAAAAAAACTTCAACCCAGATACCAGATAAATCGCATACAATTATTATAAACAATTAGAAACTACTTGTGAAACGGAATAAACAACGCATGAATAAAGTTTGATTATCTTTGACTAAGTATTTCGGCACTTTTATCATCGTCGCTTTTCGATATTACATCTCGTAAACGAAACACAATTTCATATGTTCTTCATGAAATCCAACAAATAGAGAAGAAGAAAAAAATGTTTAATTTAAATAATGTGACTACACACATATTGTAATATGAAATTGTGTTTATACGAAAAGCGATAGCCTCTGCGAAAATTGGCAATGAACATGGGAAGAAAGAATAATAATCTTGATCAAAAGTTTTCGTTTAAAGTTACAACGTGTTTAAAGATTTTACCTTTTTTTTTTTTTTTTTAATTATCATACTATAATAAAAATGATCGTACTTGTAGCATATTTAAATGAACACACAGTGCCAGATGTACGATAATTTTTATTAAAATCGATATGTCCTTTCGTCTTTCGGCATAAGTGAAATAAAATAAAATAAAATAAAATAAAAGAAAAGAAAAAAAGATGTTGGTAACTGACGAATGCGTTTGCGAAAAACAACAATTGTACTACATCGATCAAGGCACAAAAGTAACTAATTCATTATCCTCTCAGTCCCAATAGTTCGCCGAGTTAAAAAGATAGTTTCTTCTATAAAATTAAAAACGTTCAAGGACACACTAAGAGTAGAAGCACATCCTCGACGATTTTTTCGGTGCACCGTTTTGTTCTCTGCTGCAATAGGACACCGATTTTCGTGATTTTATCGAGAATGGTCTGAGACGTATGCAGAGATAAGTTGATAATATGCAAGAGCAAAGTAAAACTGCAAGTAGAACTACGAGTGTCACCGCAAAGCCAGGTGTAGTCATGCAAATCATCGTTGAACCAGCTGAAGTCTCAGTTTTTTGTGGAAACACCATAGTTGGTCCGTTCAAATCTCCGTTGTTATTATCATCGATGGAAAACGTTAAATCACCGGTAGAAACAACTCTGATTATTCTATTTACGCCAACAGATTTTTCCGGTGTCGCTACGATCTCTCGAGATTTCCTTCGTCTTTCGTCTCTCGGTCTACCAGCAGCTGCTTGCAAATAAGCTTCCAAATGTATCGGTAGAGGTGGTGGTAAACCATAACCAGCATCAGGTGGTCCATTAGATTGATGATGATGATGATTCTCGAATAAGCCAGGTCCTTGCGGTTCGAGTAACGGTGAGGATTCGGAACATTGTTCTGGACAGTGATATCTGCATATCTGTATTGTACACTGAAAATGAACCTCCATGGAATCTGGAAACTTGAATGCTTGGAAGTGCGCATAAGATAATACAGAAGCCGAAGCACCAAAGTTCTTAATCTTAGTGAATCTCGACATTAATTTAGGTCTCGTGATGCATCCTCTCTGATCTACGAGCTGTATAGGTGCACGTTTGCCATCGTGAGCCATGCAATTTCTTACAAGCATGTCAAACTTCGAATCGTCGTCCTTTATCGCCAAAACCATCGTCATAGTTTGTCCAATCTTAACCAAACCCGAAACTTCGGAAGCCCATGGACCTTTACCAACCTGTATCTGCATCCAACAACCAACATTGTCACCGGCAAAATCAGCACGAACGACGTCCAACATGTCGACCGGGAAAGGTCGGAAGGTAACTGATTTCTCATAGAGATCGTGCCAAGTGCATCGTAATTTGCGAGCTTGGTCCCAGACTTCTTGCACCTGCGGATCGTATTGTATGACAATGATGTTTTCGAAATAGGTCCCTGATCCGGCTCCATATCCATAAAGACCATTTTCGGTATTGCCAGCGGTACCACAAGCGTGTACGCTTATTTCAAAGTTTACCGATGTACGACCAAGCCCGGCAGGTAAATGAACACAATTGACGTTACTGTAGTGTCCCTTGCTGAAGACTATACCATAGAATGGCTTGTCGAAGCCAAGATATACCTTCATTAAACTTTTCTCGCACTTTACGTCGAGCGATACGATCATTGGCATGTCTGGGGTCGGTGCAGGCCATGGTTCAGCACCTACCGCAGTACTGACGCCACCTCCACCAGTCGTATAGATCTTATCCATGGCCTCGGGTTGCGTCTTATGAGCTGGCAAAGGCGGTGGAGGACCATGATAAGCGACATTGTGATGAGGTCTCGGATGACCCATCCCAATCCCACCTCGACCTGGCGGCAACGCAAGTGGATTACCTCGGAGACCGCCAGATTTGTAGTGACTTCCAGCCCCATCCTTTTCACCTAACGAATCCAATACTAGCTGGTCGGAACTATTGATGTCGTTGTCCTGCCGATTTAACGCAGAATTTTCGTTCCTTTTCTCTTCACCTGGAATCGCCTCGACTACTTCCACCTCTTCTGTTCGAGCCAGCTGTTTAACAAAAAAACAAGATAAAGAGAATGAGAATGAGAAGTTATATTGAAAAAAAAGTTTTTGCCAAAGTAAGACGGAATCAAGTGCCTATGGAATAAGATTAATGATGGCAAGGAACGCGAAAGTAGATTAACGTCGGCCTCCTGCATAATTAGCGACTCGCAAGTCTCTCTCTCTCTCTCTCTCTCTTTTCTGTTTCTCCCTCTCTCTTCTTTCTAATTCTTTTTCTTTTCTCATTCCTCTCGTCCCGAAAGACCACACGCGTCATCGTCGGGGAAACAAATAAAAAAAAGATATCTTCTCACGTTTTTATCACCTTCAATCTTGTTATTAAAAATGAGAAAAAAAAAAAAAAGTAATCTCTCGTTTGCGATCTATCTCTTAGAAGAAAATAAATAATAATCATTTCTCAGGCTAGGTAAGTCTAATTAATAATTATCGTCAAATTGTTTTGAAACAAACTCACAGAAGAAGAAGAAGAAGAGACTTAAGACAACGGGAGGAAAGAAGATCGAGGAACTCGATTGAGATTGGTTCAACGAATGATTACTATAGGTCGGCGGTGGCGGCTTGGGTAGGGACAAGGTAAAAGACAGAATAGGAGCATCGATGTTGTGTGTATTCGTATATAAACGTTCGAACATAGTAGTGGTTTATTGCGTCACGCGTAACCCTGGGGCATAACGGGCCAGCCGTGTCTTTAGCTTCGGGTCAATCGGCCATCAAGCACCAAGACACCACTTCTGATGCGCTATTCGAATGCGCCGAACAATTCTCCTTGGCCTTTTCCAACGAACGAACGAACGAACGATCGGCAATGTCCGGGCTTGTTGTCTCGTCATGGCTTTCCAACCCGCATGTCCCATAATTCGAGGAAGGCCTACTAGGTCACTCGTGCTACGACCGTTGCTTGCTTAACTTCCTTACTTGTTTGTTTCATTGCTTTTCCTCATACCCATTCGATTCTTCTCAACGTAAAAAGATACGACACTTTTTTTTTTAACCCCTCTCCTTTCTTTTTTCTTTTTTTTGTTTTTGTTTTTCTTTTTCCCATTGTATA